TAATGCAAGCATTACTAATGCACCATATTTTGTATTTGTTCTTATACACTCTACCAAACGACCCCTTAGAGTGTGGGTAAGTAATTAAGTTAGGGATTTGTGGGAAATGGACAAATATAAGAGAGTGCAGGGGAGTAGTGCAGGAGATTTTCGTGCTTTTATTGATAAATAAAAAAAGGGTGACATTTAATTTCCACAAGAGGACGCAACACAACACACTTAATTCCTGTGTGTGAATCAATAATTGACTTCTCCAATCTTCATCAATAAAATAATTCACAATCCTCACTCTCTTATCACTCTCATTCGAAAAGCTAGATTTGCATAGAGAGCACAAAATGGCGACTGCAAATGGAGCACACTTGTTCAACCATTACAGCTCCAATTCCAGATTCATCCATTTCACTTCTAGAAACACAAGCTCCAAATTGTTCCTTACCAAAACCTCCCATTTTCGGAGACCCAAACGCTGTTTCCATGTCAACAATACCTTGAGTGAGAAAATTCACCATCCCATTACTGAACAAGGTCTCACTCTTATTTTCATGTATTAATTTACTATTCTGCAATTTGTTTCAATATCAAAATTTGGTATCGAATCCATATCATTAAATATACTATTTCAATATTCAAAATGTGCTCTCCAAGTAGGGTAGATGAACCAACATTTTATACATAAACTTTTTTCAATACGTGGACTCGTGTGTTGAAACCATTAGATCCATCTGCCTCTACATTTCGTGGGTTAGAAAAAAAAAGTTTGTTTGGACCTCCCAATCTTGTTATTGATAAAATTTTATGTTTGTTTAAAGCACTCTTGCAGTATTCGGTGACTTCTTATTCATTTTGTACTCCCAATTTAAGTGTCTTAGTTTGACAGTTTATGATATTAATGGAGAATTTTGAATCTTGTGTTTTTGAAAATTTCTGGTCTTAGACTTGCCAGGTAGGATATTGAAATTGGAAGACTTACTAAATAGTACTCCCTCTGTCTCAATTTATGTGACTTACTTTTCT